TTTATTTCGTTTTTTATGATCCACATTTAGGTGAAATCACATGGTATTTGTCTTTCTTTGTCTGATTTATTCCATTCAGCATAATACCCTCTAGGTCCATCCATATTGGCACAAATGGCAAGGTTGCATTTCATTCTTTTTTATGGCAGAGTAATATTCCATTGTATATATGTACCACCTCTTCTTTATCCATTCGTCTATTGATGGACACTTAGGTTGCTTTCATATCTTGGCTATTGTAAATAATGCTGCAGTGAACATAAGAGTGCGTATATCTTTTCGGATTAGTGTTTTCGATTTCTTTGTATTCCAGAAACTTTTATCACTACCAAGCACTAGCTAGGTAGTGATAATAGAAACCTGAACAGGATAAATTCCTAGTTCTCAAGGAGGTTACAGTTTGATACAAGAGACAAATTCAGTGATATTCAAAGGGTATTATTTATGGGAGTGCCTGAGGGGAATACTTACAAGGGGGAAGGCTTCCCAGCTACATTTTAAGATCGAATAAGAGCCAAGCTCAGGATGATGAGGGGTAGGTTGCATGGGCATGTTGCTGTGTAGAGATGCTAAGGCATTGGGGATAACATGCGCAGATAGCTAAGACATAGCTGTGTTGTGAACATTTCTGGAACAGAAAGTGGAGAAAGATGAGCTTGAAGGTAGAATTAAGGAATAGATTTCACCGGACCTTTTATAGCGTGTTCAAGTCTTTGCATTTATTATGAAGACCATGGGAAGCTACTGGAAGATTTGAAAGATTTTAAAGAGGGGAGTGATATACGAAGTCACATACATATTTTTCATAAAATACATTGGCAGGGGGTGGGGAGGGGGGGGCTGTATCAGGGGAGACATTGGAAGCTGGGAGCACAGTTAGGATGCTTTTTCCAATGAAGCGAGATTATTCTGCAGTGATCCTGAAATGCAGAGCAGAGATCTGATTTTAAAAAAAAAAAACATATATTAAGCAGGTAAAGTTACAAGGGCTTGATGGTTGCTTTGCATGTGGAAAGGAGGGTGGAGCATCTAGGAGGAGCCTCAGTTTGGGCACTCACTGTTTGGGTAACGAGATGCCCCGCAGGAGGAAGTATAGGGTAGGGAATGAGATGATGGGTTCAGATTTGAATTTGAGGTGACTGTTTACACCCAGATGGAAACATTCAAGAGGCAGTTAGAAACCTGGGCCCCTGGCCAGGGATGAGTTCATCTACAGTCGGACATATGGGAATTTGAATTTACAATCCCAGTGTGAGACGAGAAGAGGAGCTTGAGTACCTTAAGTGAAATGAAAGCCAAGCAAAAGGCCTGTGTGGACAGGCAGCCCATTGCGACAGAGGTGCGAGGACTGCGGGGCCAGGGAGGACGGATCTGCGGTTCCTGCCTCTACCTCTTCTCTCCGCTTTCCTGCTGTTAACATGCATCTGCCCACTCAGAGAACCCCGGGGACCGCGAGGCAGCAAACTAAAGATTACATTATCCTTTCTGAAGTAGTTGACAGTCAACCTTTTTCACGTTCTCTCTTCCTTTAAACTTTGGGGACAGAATTATCCGGGGCTCATTCCCATCTCCCCAATCGCATGTGATCTATCTCTTTTTTCTCGCCTCATCACTTAAAATATAAGTACCCTCCGTGATTCTTTGTGGCCTCCTTCTCTGGTATTCCTGCGCTTTCTCCTTTACCAGTCTCATCATGGGCCTCGGCTTATGTCGGGCTCCAGCCTGTGTTCAGGCTCCTCCAATTCCAGCTTTGCTATTTCTTTCTATATGAGTGTCCTGAAAGCGCTTTGAAGTCATGAATTGCCAGACTCTCCTTTGCTCTAAATGTGCTCCCACTTTTGCTGGTGAATTCTATTAATTCGGTGATGTCCGTAGAACATTCTGTGATGATGGAAATGTCCCATAACCTGCTTTGTCCAACTGTAACAGCTACCAGCCACACCTGGCTACCTAGCACTTGAAATGTGGCTAGTACAGCTGAGAGAATGAATTTTAAATTTGATTTGATTTTAATTGATTAAAATTTCAGAGCCACGTGTAGTTAGCAGCTACAATATTAGACAACACAGCTTTAGATAATCAGTCATCAGGTTTTGTGGACTCTTCCCAACTTCATAACCAATGAATTCTACTTCCCCGTCCTAGATAGGCCCTCTCTGAAGTTTATGCTGCTGAAGTTGCCCCTCGTGGGTGTCTCTGCTTCATTTCTTCCCCATTTAATTTATCCCACCCAGTGTTATAAATTCAGCCTTCCCTAAGACAGCTCTGAGCACGTCAGCTTCTTTCTCAAAAGCCTGGAATGACTCCCTGTTGCTGCAAGATAAAATGGGAACTCCTTAGCCTGACATTTGAGGCCTTTCAGTCCTATTACTGTTTATTCACCCATATACGTTCTCAAACTGAATGGCACCCTCCTTTTCTCCTCTGATGTTTCTATCCCCATCTTTGGTCCTTCTGCTCATCCTGCAGGGAAACGTTCTCCGTTTCCACTTCTACATGCCCAAGTCTACACATCCTTTAGGACCCATCTCAATGACATTACCATCGAGGTTACCCTCATTTTCCTCCCCAGGTAGTCCCCCCAACCCCAAACTTTCAATAGCGTTTTTTGTTTTTTTTTAACTTACTTTTGGCACTTATCACTTCCTGCCTTAGACTAGAAGATCCTTGTGGGCAAGCTTTGGGTCTGTCTGATTTTTGTGTTTTCACCAAACATAGCAAGACCTTTTTCATTTGTTAGATGTTAAGTAACTTTTATTGAATTAACCGAAAGAAGTATGACAGTATTGAGTCAGGATCTACTGAAATGGAAGACCCTAATTATCTTTGTGGAGTAGAAATGGTCCCAAAGGTTTTCTGTTGTGTGTTTGTTTTTGTGTGCTGGTGGCAGAAG